ATATTTCTTTGATTTTTCAATTTTTTTGTCCCGCAAAAGTAGGGGCCCGGGTAAATTTTTGAGCACGGGCGCGAAGCATCGTCACTACGCCACTGGAGATTATCATAAATTATTTTTGTCCCAGATACTTTTGGTGGCACTAGTACGCCTTGTAACTTCTTCTCCTAAAGAACCCTCAACTTCTATAGTTTCCTTTCCAGTAGGTACCTTATACATATGCATTTATCGCGTGTTGCTAAATTCAGCTGGTGTAGGCACCTTGGTGGAATCAAAGTCTAAAGTGCGGAATATTTATAGCGTTTCCGATTGGTAGATTCAATGCGCACTGAGTGTATTTGCATCCTTTTGATCGACCTGTAGAAGAAACAGACAGAAATAGAAAAAATTGCACTAGTTTCGCACTATATCTACCAATCGGAAACGCCATTTAGTTTCCTACAATATAATAAGGCTTTAGTACGTTTTAGTTACGGAAAAGGCGTAAACCTACCTAATGCTCATTATTTTTTCATTAATTCGTCAGCGGTTTTTTATATTGCACTTACTAAGGACTAGCACGTATTACGTGGACGAATTAGCTTGCATATTTTTGGTTAGTTTCGTTCAAGACTCCCAAAGTTAATAGGTTGCCTGGTAATGGGTAGCTTGATGACGTATCTGGGGCGCCTTATGGAGATTTGCATTATATTGTGGCACTCCAGATGACGTCATAAAGGTATCAGGCAACCGTCCGAACAAATATTTGTTAACTATTAACCTCATTTTTTTCTCAGTGTAGGATTGAATTCATACTAACATGAAAGGTTGAGGGAATAGTCAGAAACAGGAAAATACCAGTGGCGTACACTCGATCGACCTACGAACGAATGAGGAACCACACGAAAATATACAAAACTGTACGATTATTCAAAAACTCTACCTACATAGGAAACTGTATGATTATTCAAAAACTGTTATTGTCATTAACACAACCTCGAGTTTCGTTACAGTTCGTTTGATACTGGTTATAAGCGTACTAGTTGAAAACAAAGCGCGCTTCGCTTCATAATTAACATACAAGGACTAGCACGCATTACGTGAACGGATTAGTTGTGGTTAGTTTACATATGTTTGGTTAGTTTCGTTACAGTTCGTTTAATACTGGTTAAAAGCGAAGCGCGCTTTTGTTTTTCTTTATTCAATATTAACATTCGAGGACTAGTACGCATTACGTGGACGGGTTAGTTTGAGTTAGTTTGCATATTTTCTGTTAGTTTCGGTACAGTTCGTTCAAAGCGCGCTTGTTTATCTAAATTCAATATTAACATACAAGGACTAGTACGCATTACATGAACGGGTTAGTTTGAGTTAGTTTGCATACCTTTGGTTGATTTCGTTAAAGTTCCTTTTACTGGTTATAAGTGTACTGGTTGACAACAAAGCGCGCTTTGTTTTTTAAATTCAATATTAACATAGGACTAGCACGCATTACGTGGATGGGTTAGTTTGAATAAGTTTGCGTATTTTTGGTTAGTTTCATTACAATTCAGTTCGGTTAATACTGGTTATAAGTGTACTGGTTGACAACAAAGCGCGCTGATACCGAGCGATAGGGGGGAATTTTCGTAATTGATTTTCGAAAGATGGGTCAAATCGTCAATTTTGAATATAATTTTCTGATGGAAAATGTGCATTTTCCGCATTTATTCATAGCTTACATGTTTCTATTTGAAGGAATCTCTCTCACAAAACAAAACAAAAATACGTCTTCATTGATTGAGACCTATAAGTTACCAGACTTTTTTTAATCACCTTATTTGTGGAGGTGTAACATTTTGGTGAATTTAGCAACACGCGGTTATTGCAATGTATTAGGTACCTATATCCTGTCGACGAATTACTTCTAAGCAATAACTTAAGATTTATCGTTATTGTTTGCTCGAGCCTCGAAAACTGCTATTTCAATTTTGTAATCCATAAGTAGATACATACTTTAAAAAGTATTCTATGATCCAGTATTATCTATATCTATGCATCTTCAAGCAATTTATAACTTTTATCTGGCAAAGTTTGTGGGCGTCAGATATTTCATTTCATAAGATGAAATACATCTTTGATATGACAAGGTTGTAGAGATTCTGAGAAATAGCTCTTTTGTATATACATCACGTTGTAGTGACTACAGAAATTTTAATCAAGAATAACAAGGATTTACCAAACAACCATCCCAGGAGAGACCATCGCTCAGACAGCACAACCAGAAACTTCAATTAAAATTTATCTAAACATCGATATCCAGAGATTATTGAAAGCCGATACCTTTCCTCTCAAGAATGACCAGCCAATAGGAATTAAACAGAATAATTGACCTACATTGGGATGTGAATAAAGCAAAAGTTCATGGACCTTTTTTTAAGTGCTCTCAACAATTAACATTCCAAAGGAACCTAATTCCTAGAAGTATCAATAAATCACGCACGAGCCTATATGATGATACCCACTTAACAAACCACTTAGCGACGCCCTTGATAATTAATTAAAAGGGGACCAAATACACCAATTGATCGTGTGATTCAACCACGTAAAATCCAGGTCAGGAAAAAACAAAGAAATTCAAGACAATAGGGGGGCCAATTGATATTAGAAGGCAACTTTGACAGGAGAAAAGCAGTGTTCAAGAAAGAGCGAGTAAACGGATAGAGCTACGTCTGTAAACCAGTGTTCGATTGAGTAATCAAGAAACAAGTACTAATCCAGAATCGAGAGACCTGTGTCCAGAAAGTCAGAACTACGGCATGAAAGAGTTGTCGAATTAACCGAGAGAAGAAGCACGACGTGAAATAACAGCGCAAAAATATTCTAGTTTTATTAAATGTTTATAAGTAAAGTAAATTTCTTCGACCAATAAGAATTCCATGTAATTAGGTGTGGCCAGCAGTAAATGTATTATTGTGAAATGTATAAGTAGAGTTTTTTATGTTCAGCCAGAAATTGTGAAGGCAAGAGTGTGAGTCGAGTCAAACTGTAAATTAAAATTTTACTTGGAATCATATAAATTTTCCTTAACATTTAATTGATGCTTACTATTAGAGATTGAATAATTTTATTGTAAGATTATTTATGACCGACCCCTGTTATTTAATAACAAGCTTTATTTATTTTAATAAAATAAATTTTATTTTACTGGACCACAATATTTCTGTGCAAATAGGATCCACTTTAAACTGTGTCTACACTCAGAAACTAAAGTCACCGCTCGCCAATTTAACATCTTGCCAAGTTTCTGAATTTGGGGTCTCACAACGTATTCCAAGAGATACATGAGAATAAATGCTGGAAACAGATTGTAGAGTTAGCATATTTTCGCGATAATCCTTTTTATCTTTATGCGTCTTTTTCAAATTCTTATACAATATAAACGCAAGTTTATACACTATATGTGTAGGTACTTCATGAAGCTGTTGGGAAAAAAAGTTTCAAAACTTTCTCAACTTCAGATAGATCTCCCTGAAGAGTTGTGATCATGAGTATTGTTTCTTCGGAATTATTATTAGAGGTCCTCATGAATCCCAGTGGCGGACTACAATTCCTAAAAATTTAAATTCTAGCTCATTTGGACCTATAGGTTCCGAGAAAAAATCGCGTTAAGGAAATCCGCTCATAGTGGGCGGAAGCAAAATTTTCTGAGTGCCTTTCTTCATAGAATCCGGCTCCAAATTTTGAAATAATTTTGTGTATGGAGTTCAGGGGATTCCGATGGACCATAAGGCCACAAAATCTCAACGAAAAAAATTTAAAATTTCATCGTTTTGGTAAGAAGGTAAGAACCTTATGATTTAGATTTTGGAAAACTTTGAAAGGTCATAGCTTAAACCACCCTCAGAGTAATTTGTTAGTCAAATGAGGCTCCCCAAACGGTGTATATTGGTACTACCTATAATTTCCAGTACTCTTTGTGCCCGAGACTAGGGTGGAAATGTCTATATTTTCACAGAAAACCCTTTTTTCGATTAATCGCAATTATTAGTTTTACCCCCTTAAACCACGCTCAAAGTAATTTGCAAGTCAAGTGACGTTCCTCAAACGATGTATTTTGGTACTGCCTATAAATTCCAGTACTGTTTTTGCCCGAGACTAGGGTGGAAATGTCCGTATTTTCACAAAAACCCTTTTTTCGATTAATCGCAATTATTAGTTTTACCCCCTTAAACCATCCTCGAAGTAATTTGCAAGTCAAGTGAGGTTCCTCAAACGATGTATTTTGGTACTACTTATAATTTCCAGTACTGTTTGTGCCCGAGACTAGGGTGGAAATGTCCATATTTTCACAAAACACCTTTTTTCGATGAATCACAATTATTAGTTTTACCCCCGTAAACCATCGTCAAAGATAATTTGCAAGTCAAGTGAGGTTCCCCAAATGAGGTATTATGGTACTGCCTATAATTTCCAGTACTGTTTGTGCCCGAGGCTAGGGTGAAAATGTTATTGTATTTGCTCCAAATTGAGTTTTTACTGTTTCTGTAATTTTTTTGCGATCGACTACCACATCCATCTCTTGACTCTTGTCAGGTGATTAATACTTTATTATGTATTAACTTTGTGTCTATTTTTCCCAAGATCGGTAAAGTTTCAAGGTATTTATGGCCCTTATAAATTGAAAATGTTATAGAATGTAAAATGTGTTTTTTTTTTTAAAGATAAAAGTCAAATTGACATTATGTTGGCAATACAATGTAAAATTGTCAATGCTTTCAAATTTTTTATGTAGAAAAGGCTTGTGTTGCCAACATAGTTACTAAATTTTTGACTTGGGGAATTATCTTTAAAAAAAAAACAGACTTTACATTTGAATAGCCCGCATTTTTATAGCCGACAACAAAGGTTGCTATTCTATTGATACGGGCGACGATTGGTTTGCGGAGTACGCTCAACTGTCAATTACCATTTGTCACATGTGGCAAACTTTTACGCGAAATCGAACAGGCTCCTAATTTTATCTCTCTTTTTATGGCGTTGACATTTTATTATTGGCCTCCTTTTTCGAGACGTCAAACATATTCTGAAAAATGTTTCTCCGTTTGAAAAAAATCATTCCTTATCTGTAACAAATATGCCAAAAATTTCGTCTCAGGACAAAGTACTCATCAAATACACCCCGGTAAGTAAACGACCTGAAAATTCTATAAATTTGATCACTTTCAAAATCTTCAGTTTTCCAAATATGGCCACGATTGTACCTTGGAAGAGGTGCCGGAAGAATTCGAATATGGTAACATACCGTCCAAAGGTTGCATTAATAAATGTATGCGTTGGATTATACGGATGTGCACCGTGTCCGAATCGAGCAAGATGTACACGCACCACTTGCGGAGTTATGGGGCCATTTGCAAGGAACGTCAACGACAAGCTATTTCTTACGGATTTCGTATTCATCCTTTTAGCAGAGCATAGTAAGGATATTTGGTTTTATAATATAAATTGTGTTTCTACATTTAAACTTGGGTGAAGAGCCTTTACCTGTTCTTGATCTACCAAATCAAAATCTTTTGGTTTTGTCCTCTTCGGACAATATAGTTATCGGAGTCATCAGTAATGAATCTAGTAATTGCTCTTTTGGATTAATTCTATCAAAAACATAGGTATTTAATTCTTTTTCAGTCTAATCTGGTCGTTTATACTGATGTTTGCTATATTGGCCCTGATATTCTGCACGTCATTGGATTTTTTATTTTACAACACCAAAAATGCCTTCGTTTTTTCAATCTATTGGAGAATCCTGGAATCTCTATTGACGGTTATATTCATAATCAACGTAATGCTGAGCTTTTTCACTGGCTATTACGATGAACCAAAACAGGAAGTCATATTGGAGTTTAAGCTGGTTGTCTTGTAAGAAATCAATAACTTTTTGTCAATATTTTTCGAAATTCTTTAATTTCTAGGCAATACCTCAAAACCAGCTTTTTCACGGATCTTTTAGCCTGCGTACCGGCCAATATTGGGGCTTCTTCAAAGGCTGGGATAATCATTTTAAAAGTTCTCCACTGCTTCAAATACCTGATGATCATCAGATTTCACAAGCATTTCAAATATTGCGCTGAAATTTTAGATGTCAATTATTACACCTACATGATCACTCTGGTTATTGTCAACACTCTACTATACTGGCACGTTCTTTGTTGCATGCTGAAATTTTCCAGGGAACGCTTGGGAAGCTTTTCGAATAAGATTTTTTTGAGGTCGAGGACTATGTTTCATATTGCTGAGTAAGTTTTTTTTCTTCTAGAGGATCTTACCACACCAACGCGGTACGGCGGGAGCAAAAACGAAAACGACATATGATTTGAACATGTGGTAAAATATGAAACATAATCTATTCTCGAGTCGCTTTCGCTATATCGCGTTGGTGTGTGGGATACTTTAGAATAGGTACACCATAATATACTCTGCGGAAGTCATATAAGTCGATTTTGATGTTCACACTACCCTAGAGGTTGGGTACGAGGCGCGTTTTGTATGTGGGAAGAGATGGAAAATTCCATGGGTAGCGCAGCAGAACTAATAAAGTTAGTTGAAACGCTCTGAAGTGACGCAAAAGAGATGCTGCATATCACCAACAATTTTGGAAATATGTATATCTACCTAAGTACTTAATTGGAACAAGCGGTAAGGGGTGAAAATATAAAAAAGTAAAGACGCATATGGGAATACCGCTTAATACAATTAGGGTTATTGGTTATAAATGTCACCCCCTCTATCTTTTTTATTTGACATTTTAGTAAAAAGTGTCCCAAATAAAAAATTCATGGTTGAAATAAATTTTTTTGAAAAACTCACTTTTGCATATACCGGGTGACAATGAAACTACTACCCTTGGCGGCATTTCTTAACGGCTCGAGATAGAAATATGCAACTCGGTTTGTTGATAGGGTTGAAAATTGTGAACAATTTTAATATAAAAACAATTGAATGCCTTTTCTGGTCTTACCGGAAATGGCAGTTTTTACGTAAAATATTAACAAATAGGAATTATGACATATTTTTGAGCCACTCTATTTCAAAAACTATCAATTTTTGACATAGGTTATGTTAGACAGAAGGTATATAGAATTGTTCAGGGAGTCCAAAAAAAAATAAAATACACAGGGTGTTCCATTTAAAATAACAAAGTCAATGCCATTTCCGGTGAAACCGGATAAGACATTCAATTGTTTTTATATTAAAATTGTTCACAATTTTCAACCCTATCAACAAACCGAAATGCATATTTCTATCTCGAGCCGTTAAGAAATGCCGCCGTGGGTAGTAGTTTCATTGTCACCCGGTATAGGGTGTTTCAAAAAAGCTGGTCGCGCTCCAACTTTCTTATTTTAAATTTAATACCCTGTATATTAATCAATATTCGAATTCTTCGTCAAATTCTGAGCAGTTTTCATGTGATATACCCTATACCTAAGTTCAACTGTTCTGGAAATATTGACAGTTGAAAATTGACTTCTTTGCAACTTTGACAGGCTGTAAATCCTAAAAGGTTAATTTTAGAGCAAAACCGATCTTACATTTTTATCTTAGATTTTTATAAACTATTAGTTGACACCAATATTTGACATAAACTTTGAATTTAATCTCTGATTGAAAATTCCAATTAAATTTAATCTTCGGTTAAATTTAAAGTTGGTGTCAAATGATAACTTGTGAAAATCTTAGAAAAAAATGTAAGATCGGTTTTGCTCAAAAGTGAACCGTTTACGTTTTACAGCCTGTCAAATTTGCAAAAAAGTAATTTTCAACTGTCAATATTTCCAAAACAGTTGAACTTAGGTATAGGGTATATCACATGAAATCTGTTCAGAATTTAACGTAGAATCCGAATATTGAATAATATACAAATTTTTTATTTGAGACACTTTTTTCTAAAATGTCAAATAAAAAAGATAGAGGGGGTGACATTTATAACCAATAACCCTGTACACTTCATTATTTTTACCTAAAACTGTCTAAGAAAATCCAGAAATTAAATTGGTAATAGATATATAGGGTGTTTGGCAGATGGTTAGCCAAACTTGGTGGGTGTATAGATAGGCCCATTTCGAAGATATTTTCTCAATACAGTCCTTAAGGTCCCCGTTTTTTTTTATATCATTGCTTTTGTATTATTCTCAAGAATTTTAAAAAATGGACCTTTCAACTTCTGTAACCTTTTAACTTTCTGATATTATCAAGGATACCCTACAGACCAAAAACACATGCAACAAACGTTTCCATAAATATTTTAAAAAAAGTTACAGAAGTTTAAGGGATAATTTTTGAAAATTCTTGAAAACAAATGATGAAAAAAAAATGGAGCTTAAGGCCACAATTGTATTAATAAAATATCTCCGAAATGGGCCTATCTATACGCCAACCAAGTCTGGCTAACCCTCCGCCAAACTCCCTGTATAGTCTCACTCAATACATAAGTTTGGTCTTCAAGGGCGAACAACTAAAAGTTAACTCCAGGAATGACGTTACTTCTCATGGTAATTCCATAAGTTAACTTTGAGTTATCTGTCAGAATAGCTTTATAATACCCGCCCTTAGCAATACAACATTTTGATCTAATTTTTATTAAAAAAAAATTATGCCCACATTTGCCTAAAATTGGCGAAATTTGGATGTGGTCACCAAACATATTTTTCTTCGCCTTCGCGGCATGTAGGGGGCGCCGCATCTCAGTCTCCTCCCCTAGGGATAGTCATATCGCTACGGCCCTGGGCAAATGCCCCCCCTTGCCCCCCCCCCCACCAAACGACGCCCATGAATACAATCTATATTCTCTAAGCTTTTACAAAGATGACCAAGTAGATATAAATTGCACAGGATTATGTTGATTGCCTAAATTGATAGAGAAATACGAAAAATCGTGTTTGAAAGTAAATCGGACGAAAACAGAATATATGACCATAACAGAAGAACAACGAAACCTGAAATTGAATAACGCACAATGAATAAAACAATGGAGTGAATGTATAGGACTGAAAATTTCGCATAAGGGAACCCTAGATGACGCAATTAAAGATAGGAATATCAAGGACAAATGGGAATATCCCTAGTAAATGGAGTACTGTGGAATCAAGCTCGGTGCTCATTCAACACAGCCAGGACGACCAGATAGCGGCAGGGTTAAGCAGGACGCGCGCTGAATCGACTCGGACCGGTCGACTCGGCGAAGAGCATTCGGAAGTTTTTGATACTCATGCAATTAAATGAGACTCGAGTCGACCACGTCGAGTCGACGAGTCCGATGCCGTGCGCGGAGTCTCATTTAATTGCATGAGTATCAAAAACTACCGAATGCTCTTCGCCGAGTCGACCGGTCCGAGTCGATTCAGTGCGCGTCCTGCTTTACACAGTATAACAAAGAAATCAGAAAGGCAAAAAGAAAAAACTTTAGGTCTTTCTGTGAAAATATCACCTCGAGTCCAGTCGTCTCGAGACTATACAAGACAATGGCCAAAGGGGGACAGTGGCTCTGAAAAAGCCAGATGTTAGGTACCTACACGGAAAGAGAAGAGGAACGTGCCCTCTTTCTTTTGAGCAAACACTTTCCAGGTAGTAAACTTACAGAAGTGAGGAAAGAGGGAGAGGAGAGAATAGACGATATAGATTCTCCTTAAAAAGCTGCCAATAGAAAGTATTTTTCGTTTTTGGATATCTTGAATAATAGGGAAATTAGAGAGTTTTTTAAAATTGGACAAAATTTGAAAAGTGCCCTGTATTTCCTAAACGCATCAAGTTAGCCGTGATTTGTCTTCGCCATTGTTATTTTCTCCAAAAAAGAGCTCGAGAATGTGCTCCCAGATTTTTGATATCTCTGCTAGTTTTCGATATAGCCAATTAAAACATCGAAAATGGGCCACCCTGTGCTACATATGAAGTAAATTACATTAAATTGTATTGTATTGTATAATTGCAATCAGAATGAAACAAATTATCAAATAAACTAAAAAGGGACCCCGCACTTGGACCATTGAAAATAGGTTTCGGTCAAAATGTCTGAATTTTTTATATGTTTTAGTTCTAAGTCTGTAGATCGGATTTTGGCAAAAAAATTGAGGGGGGTCCTCGAGCCGTTTCCGAGCTACTGACATCCATAGGCGTGCAAATAAGAGTCTGGATTGCAAGCGTGGCATTAAAAAGTTTACTTAAAAACACAAAAAACAAACCATTCTAAGGCATAATAATTAGACATAATTGTTTAGAATACATATACTTACATGTATCCGTTACACTAAAACTGTTACAAATGTACAGGATACCTATATTTGAATATATCTTATGAGATGGGAGATGCATCATGTTCATCTTTTATTAGATATTTGTAGTGGTTTCGTTTGTACAAAGTTTATTCAAATACTACAATCGCCTGCACAAAATTCCGCCACCGTGAAATTTCGGCCAAGTTTGATGTTTTATAACTTTTTCATTTATTATCCGATTTCCGTGATTTTGTTATCAGTTTATAGATCCATTTGTTGGGTTTTTCCTCTGAGGGTTTTTCTCTAATTATTTCCTAAAGTAACATTTTTCGATTACACTATATTATACAGGAGTATAGCAAACTGTTGTTTTTGGTCGTCATTTCGAAACACCCTGTAGGAAAATTGAGGTGTACAATTTTATTTATGTAATGTTGCTTGTTATCTTTGACGTATTCTAAACATTTTGTTTTTTGATTCATTCCATTATCGCGTTTCTGCTGCGAGCTGCAAATTTTTCATTAAAACGATGTTATTTTTAGAAAATGTTTGTCAAGCTTTCAATTAAAAACTATCGACGTTGGCTAACGCGATTATTGTGACAAAATGTTTACAGACGAGAAATTTTACTAGGCGTCAAGGCTCTGGCAGAAGGTGAATGACCACTGCAGCTGATGATCGCTATATCATTGTTAGTTCTTCAAGAGATCGAACATCTACTGTGTGTCTAAAAAATGACTTTCAAATGATTCGTTGAGTAGGTACATGTAAGTGAAAGAACGATGCGTAGAAGATTGGCAGAAACTGGGCTTCATTCACGAAGGCTATCAATATGTCTACAATTACTTCCTCAACATCGACAACACCGACCGAAATAAGCAAGATTGAATTCTGACTTGAGTCTAGAACAGTGGGTAAACGTGCTATCAAGGTGTAGTGTTTTCCCCATACATACTATATACCATACTATTGTTGTAATGAAATTGATCATTTATATTATTTTTTATTACGCATGCATCATAATCAAC